TTCTATTTTCTTAATAGAATGATTGGAATCGGATATTGTACAAAGCAAAGCGATAAAAAAATAGACGATTCAGATTACTTAAATAATATTCTCTTGCCTGATAATAACTAATTTTTAATTTATTTTCTTATTATTACAAATTAACATCTGTCATATCCTTTAGGTCAAGAATATAAGGAAAATAAACAGATTAACGAAAATGAACAAAATATGGAAAATAGTACATGGGAATGTGGTTATCATGGTGACGATGGATATTCTTATTGTTCAGGAAGTGGCGAGCCATATGATTTACCACGTTATAATTATACCGCTGGATATACTACCGGGATATAGTGATATAGTTGGATGCAATCTAAATTTTAGAAATAACATAGTATTTTATACTAAAAATGGAATCAACCTAGGTAATCAACATTTTAGAAATTAAAATTTATATTTCTTAAAGTAGATAGATAGAAATTTAATAATTATAAATATTTAAGGAATTGCGTGCCATCTAAACAGCAATTTCAAAGGCATTCTATATCCTTGTGTCGGATTTAGATCACAAGGTGGGTCAGTAAAAGTGAACTTCGGCAATGAAAAATTTAAATATTCTGGTAAATTTATTCAAATGGTTTATTCATTTTTGCTTATTTAGAAATTAACAATGTTTATATATATTTCAATTGACAGCAATTACTAATGAAAACATTAGCATAAAACCAAATAATAACGCACTAGCATTGGAATATCATGAAAAGGGTTTATTTTATTAAAGGTGGATATGAAAATATGCCTGTTAATCTAACCAATGAGTTAACAAAATCACTAGAAAAAAAAAGTCCAGCTAATGTATCTGAATTGACCTACAGAGGAAAAATATATTTTATTATGGGCGAATATGATAAGGCATTGGATGATTTAATTGGATTGCTAAAAATCATGCCAAATAATACAATAGCTTTAAGATATCGAGGTGAAATTAATTATCTGATGAAAAGGTATAATGAATCAATTACTGACTTGGAGAAATTATTAAAAATTAAACCAAAAGACGCGTGGGCAGTGGAGGCACATAAATTAGTTAAAGAGCTGTAAGTATAATGCGTACTTGTAAATTTTAGCAGATTAAAAAAGAGCTTAGAAATAAATAATAATTTGACCACCACTTATGTCACACAATAGCCTGTAAGAATTTTTTACAGTAAAACACTACGTATAGAAATCACGTTCATTCCAATACAAAACTAACAAAATAATTTGTAAAGCCACAATAGTCGGTAAGAATTTTTTTACAATAAAACACTGCGTATAGAAATCACGTTCATTGGCTCGATCATATAATCCTCGATAATTGATCGATTAGGCTTGATGATCGAGCACGATGTTATAAGCTCGATCAAAAGTGAGTCAATTAATGATCGATTATGTTAATCGATTAAATGGTTAAAATTTGATCGATTAAGAAAATCTTCAAAAAAAATCTTTTATTTTACAGGATATCATTATAAAATACTATATAATAGATCAATGGTTGACCCAATGATTGGTCGATTATGTATGCTCGAGCAAATAAATTACATGCTTGATCGATCATACTCGATTAATTGAATTTTGATCGATACAAAAAAATTTTTTTCTATCAATCATTGATCAACAATTTTTTTGTCGAGCCAATTCCCTACACCCAACTATGCCATAAACTATACCAAAATAAGAAGTACAAAAATGATGATATGAAAATAAAAATTTGAGCATAACACCGGCCGGTTACTATTGATATCCGGATAATTATCCGAATACTTGTTGGATTACTCGGATATCTTAGTGATTTGAAATATCCAACGAATAAACGGATGACGGATTATCCGGATTAGAACTTTACGTAAAATGTATATACGCTTATTTATATAATCACTTATCAGTAGATATTTATCAAAAAGCCAATTTTATTACCAAGTACCCTATTTAATTTTCTGGTTTGGATTTTTAAAACAGAGATAGGATTTTTTAACTTCCATTTATTTTCGAAATAAATTAATTTTAAACTCAAAAATATTTTTTTTTAATTCTAAAATGAGTCAAGTTATTTTTAATTTCTTTAAATGCTTTGAGCTATCTATTTCGACTCAAAATATGTATAAGAAATAATACTATATTTTTGTTCAAAATAATGAAGTTGAATAATATTTCTAATATTATCGGCATATACTATTATCACAAACTGAGTTCTTGCAGTCTGGATTAAAAGCACATCTTTCACCTTTGTCCCAATTGTTTAGTAATCCTCCTACAACGCAACCAGTTCTTAGTTTTAACTGACAACGACCCTGTACGCAAAGGCCTTCCTTACAATCCCTGCTTCCAGGTTTAATGAGACCACATAATTCGCCTGCTTCACAACTTTCACTATCAGTGCGCACACCTGCTTGACATGACGCTATAAAGCAGTTAGAGTGATTCTAGTTTGAAAAATAAGTTATTTAAAAAAAAAAAACGCCTTACCATCGGTGACTGGTATCCAAGCCGTGCTAAGCACTAAGACAAAAATTATAACAATAATAGTGAATGTATATCTCATAATGAGTATAAAGTAATCTTAACTTTGTAATATAGTATGATTTATAACTTTTATATTTTATGTTATATAATATTTTTATATTTCTACCAATGTCTTAATATTGTATTTAAATACTTTTTAGAATTAAATCGAAAATTCAAAAAATTTGCTAGTTCGCTTTGATTGATTTTCATTGCTGCATTTAAACTTCTTTTTTGGAAAATTCTTTAAACCGTTTACAAATTAGCTATAAGGATTGAATATGATTATACAATACTGCATTATTTTTAATTTAAAAATTTTTTAATAATATAATAGAATAATCTTACGGTTAATAAAGTTATAATTCTCGCAATAAATATATTATATTTAGAGTACTCAACATTACGCGTTAATTAAACATCTATAAGCACACTTTCCTATAAATGCATACTATTAATCATAAAGAACTGTTAGTATGATTTTATAATACGAACTTTCTCATCCTAACATTAACCATAAAGAACTATTAGAATGATTTTATATAATACGAACTTTCTCACCCTAACATTAACCATAAAGAACTGTTAGAATGATTTTATAATACGAACTTTCTCATCCTAACATTAACCATAAAGAACTATTAGAATGATTTTATATAATACGAACTTTCTCATCCTAACGTTAACTAAAGATGCCTGACGAAACCATTCGTCAATCAATTTCTGAATGACGATTTGACGAATGACGAAACCCATGACGAAACCCGTGATGATTATTAATGCATATATTCTTTTTTTTTATAATGGAAACAAATCGATCTATGCGAGGCTAATATTTTTGTTTGTATTATCATATCTACCCATTTCTACTTTTATCGAACACACCCGATATTACCCGGTGAAGGCGTTGATCACCCGAAGATATCCGATGAAGTTTTACGAAAAAAACTAACCTTTAATACTTAAGAAATATGTCACAAAAGTTTAAAAAGATAATAAATAGCTATATAGTATTTCTTTTATAGTATAATTTTATTTTTTATAACAAATATTAGTTTCGTCAATGGTTTCACCAATCGTCAACAGTTTCGTCTCGTCAACGGTTTCGTCAGGATCGTCATTTGACGATCCCATTCATCAATTAAAAAATAGTTTCGTCAAGCATCTTTAACGTTAACCATAAAGAACTGTTTGAATGATTTATAATACGAACTTTCTCTTCCTAACACTAATCATAAGAGCTGTTAGAATGATTTTATAATTCGAACTTTCTCATCCTAACATTAACCATAAAGAGCTATTAGAATGATTTTATAATACGAACGTTCTCATCCTGACATTAACATTAAGAGCTTTTAGAATGATTTCATAATGCGACCTTCCTCATCCTAATACTAATCATAAAGAGCTGTTAGAATGATCATCCCAAACTAACCATAAAGAGTTGTAAGAATGATTTTATAATACAGTACATCCCTAACACTAACCATCAACACTAACAGTACAAACTTTCTCATTTAAACACTAACCATCTATCTAGTTCAAACACTAAAGTATTTCATGCACATTCCGTTATTTTAAACATCAATCGTTATATTTTTGTAATGAATTTAAAACAGTTAGCAAATATGAAAATAATACTAAAACAATTAGCAAATATGAAAATAATATATGAGTGCGTGAGAATGAAACCAGGAAATAAAATTTAATCAATCATAAATTTTATTTCCTGATTTTCACTCTCACGCACACATATTATAAAAACAATTAATTTAAAAAAAAACATTTTTTATACAACAATTTAAATTATTATAAAGTAAATTATATGTTACTCAGTACATAGATATAATTTATATGAAAGTACTAGCATTCGTTAATAAAATTCAAGTTAAGATATATTTATGGAGAAATAGTTCCATTGGAAAACATCTATTTTTGAATTAATGCTTGTTACACATGAACTTATTCTTGAAGAGTTAAACTAGATATCTTGAAACTCTTTTAATTGAATCAAATGCTAATTAGCATCGTATACATTTTCTCGTATTTATCAAAAAGGTTTACAAAATACAGTCAGACCTCCATAAGTGCACTTCTCTAAGTGCACGGATTATGTAAACTCACTCTAAATGCACGGTATAGTCCGGTCCCAGCTTATAAGAGCTCTATGTATTTTGCTCAATATAAATGCACACCCTCTCTAAGTGCACACTTTTCAATTTTTTCTTATGGTCCCGAAAGGTGCAACTAGGGAGGTCTGACTGTAATGAGCTTTTAAAGTTATAAAAATGGTGTAATGATACTTATTATAGCAAGGTATCTAAGTAAAATTTTTGAACCGAAGATTTTACATTTATTCGAGAAAATGCATTAGTTTTTGTTAATTGAACGTGAAAATTTATAAATAGAAGATTTGGAATTATGTCATCGAATGGAGGATCCATGAGAATTAGAATAGAATTGTCACCCAAAAAAATTTCAAACTATATTTCGAAATAAAATTTTGGTTTGTTAGATTAGGGTTAGGGTGTTGCTTCTAGGTTAGGGTTTAGAGTGCTTTATTATATCAAAATTTTGCAAGGAAAATTTTTTACTAATGCGCAGAAGGCTCTTTCATAGACTCATTTTTGAGTTATAGGCGATTTTTGACAAAACGAACGTTGTTTTGAATTTTCCTGATCGTGCTACGTTACACATGATCTTGAAATTCGATTGGCCAGTGAAATTTTTTTGGGTGGCGATTTTACCCCAGTTATCCATGAGCCGTAGCCCTGGTCAAATTTGCAGATCATTTTGACTAGGTTTGAAATTATTCGAATTCAAAGCTGGCCAAATGATCTGCAAATTTAGTTATCATGGATTTTTATTTTTGCTATTAATAAAATTATTTAGCAATTGAAATTTAGAAAACTATTCTTTTAGCGATATATTACATTATTATCCTAATAATATACGGAAGTTAGTAAGTATGTAAGCAATAGATGCAAGTGAGAATATATTTGCAATCTTTATTTTAATCTTTCGTAGCAATCAATATCCGAGTAATCCCAGAAATATTACCATTTGTGCTATCGATTTTTATTTAAAACGATTTAAGAATAGTTACATTAAAAAAATTGCATCTGGAGAGATACTAACAACGTTTCTCTAATCAAATTCAACAAAAGTTTCAAAATGAAATGTATAAAATTATAAAGTTTATTTTAAAAAAAGGTTTTATTGAATTTGGTTGAGTTATTACTAATGTGGGACTAGAAAAATGGAGCTTGAGAACCAATCAACTCAATTGAATAAAACACAACCTTAAACAACCTACTTAAATAGTTGATTAGGTCTAGTAAATGAATGTTATAGGGCTTTAAGGCTGCTGACTATTAGGCAGGACTGTTTGTTATACTTAGGAGGGTTTACAATATACACGTGAGTAAAATAACCAGATGAATGAGAATTGGAATTTATTAGAATTTTTCTAATCAAATGACTAAACAATTAAATGACCAAACATTAAATGCCTTTTATTTATATTAAATTGCATTTATAAATGATAATACATTATTTTACTTTTTTAAAAGCTATAGCTTTTAAAGTACTTTTAATGCTTATAACTCTTTCAAGGCCTATTACTTTATAAATTAATTTTATGAATTATATTCCATTTATGGATACGCCTATTTTATAAATTCTGAAATACATATTTAATCCGAAAGGTTAAATAATATCTCCAATAATATTTCAACTATAAAATTAATTGAAAATCTGTTTAATCGGCGAAGTAATCATTTATTAGAAGAGATAATTTAACCTCTATTTATAGCTGTTGTAAATGGAATTTGGAATTCTCTTTATCCATTTAATACTATGCAATTCCACATATATACAAGAATAAATTTGCTACGTACTAATTTTGACACATATTAACTTTGATAGTCTGAATATTTTGATTAGTTTCAATTCTTAACTTCCGTAGCTGAAAAGAATTTTAAATAAATTATCAATTTTTTTTATTATACGTATCAGTATATCTACAGTAATAAGTTTATAATTAAATTGAAATTGTAAAATAAAGGTTTTACAACGTCTAACAAGTCCTTTTCAAGAAATTTATTAGCTAATGAAATCATTAAAAACTTTTTTTGAAATAAAAGAATATTAAAGTGAAATTTTGAAATACTGTAGAAACTTTCACTAAATACCTATAATTATTTTAGGTATGTATGATTGATGATTACTAAAATTTGACTATTTAAATGATCTTTTAAAGATCAGAAATATACTTAAGTTGTTTTTGGATTCGAAATCTACTTAAGTTGTTTTTGGATTCGAAATCTACTTAAATGGGAACATGGTTAAGTGAAAGACCTGAACAATACGCACAACCTGGGTAGAAGAATCAAGGAACTACAGAAGAGCCTAAATTTTGTAAAAAAGTGTATAGTTGTAGAATTATATGACTATTATGATAAGAGATATAAGTAAAAAATAACCATTGAATTTTCAGGATTTAATAGTGTATCAATACTAATATTTCATTTTGTTTAATTAACTAAACATTCTGGATATCTGTTTCTTTATGTTACCCACCGTAATAATTTTGAGGGATTCAATTGTTAACACTCCAAATAAAAAGTACGCATTGTTAAGCTCCAATATATTCCAGTATATAGATTTATTAAAGAAAACGTATGGTAAATATTAATCAGATTATTATATACAGTACAAATAATAAAATCATATTAAACTCATATTACTATTTTTTTTGAAATAGATCTAAATTTTAGTATTTAATAAGGACTTTTTTTAAATTTTGATTAACTAACACGTATTTATTATATAATTTAATTTAATAATATTAATACGTTTATATTGATTAATACTTAAGTAGGTCAACAACATTTTTATTTCTTGAATACAAAATTTATTTTTTAGATTCGAACTCTAGAAGATTGGTTTTTTTTATATTTGAACTCTTGAAGATTTATTTTTTTAATTAGACTATTATTATCTATTAAGTTATTATATTAAAAAAGGAATACTAGTTTT